ATATAAATAAAGATTATCAAACTGAGAATTTTATTTTAAAATAACATTTAATAAAAATTAAAATTTCAATATTTAATAAAATGTTCTTCTTTTAAACTAATGATTTTAACATTTTATTAAAAATAAAGTCTAATTTCTCTAAATTCAGTCAAATGTGTATGTTTTTTTTTGATAAAAATAAATATTACATATTCTTTTTTTTTATTCATTTAGTTTGCTTGTTCTGATTGTGGAAAAGGATGCACGAATAGGACTGAACTTAAAATTCATATGACAAAACATACAGGAGAAAATTGTTTCCTTGTGAATTTTGTGATCAGAAATTTTCTACTGCTAGTTATCTTGCTGTTCATAGGTATATTAATATACATGATTATTTTTAACATTCACTCAAAAGTTTTAGAAAACATTTGAGTAATGATGTAATATTTTCTATTTAGGCGTCACCATACAGGAGAGAAAAAATATGTTTGTGAAACGTGTGGGAAGGGCTATGTGGAGTCTGGCTCCTATAAAAACATATAAAGACACATGAAACGGCTAATAATGCTAAGACATTTTCCTGCACTTTGTGTAACAATCTTATACACAGGTAATTATGAGAACCTATGTGTTGTTCCTACAATAACATATTTTTTTTTTAATTATATTTAAAGTATTTAGCATATTAAGCTAATAATTTTAAAAAAGTAATTATTTTATGTTTTTTTTTTGTCTCAAAACCTTAAAAAAAAATATATGACTCATCAACAAGATCAACAAATCAGCAGCAAGTTCAGCAACAACAACAACAACAGCAACAACCACAAACCCAACAACAAACGATAATTCAAGCCCAGCCACAAACTGTAACAATGCATCAAATTAGACAAGCATCTCCTGATACCGTACTTGGCCAGGTCAGATCTAAATAACTAATAAATACAGTTTATTTCCATGCTTAGTTTCTGTTGATATATAATAATTTCGTTGTTAATTTTTATGTTTTAGGTTTCACTACAACATCCCCTTCATATGCAAACAATTCAGCAGTTGTCGAGTTTACCTTCCCTTTCAAGTCCACCGCCTTTAGTTCACTTATCAACAGCTGGCGGACAATTACTACAAATACAACCAGATCAACTCGGACAATTAACACATCGAATAATACTGCAATCAAATGGACAACCTATTTTATGGCACAACAACAGTAAGAGTTTTCTTACGTAATAGAATAATATATTATTTGAGACAGGTGAGAAATAGGTTAATAGTTGTAATATATGCACTGGACAGGGAGAAAAAGGTTTGTTTGTTTTTTTTTTTTTTATATCTTCTTTCTCTTTATATATGCTTTAAACAATTGCTTTGAGCAATTCGTACTATTCTCTTTAATAAAATAATATATATTTTAATTGACTAAAACAAATTCTAGATATTTATATTTTGACCACTTGAAATACATTGTATTTCACATAAAAAGAAATAAGTAAAATTTAATAGAATTAATAAAAGGCTATTTTAATTTTTTTCAATTGCATTTAAAATAATAATGTTTATTATAAATCACGTTTAAATAAATATATATCATGACCACTTAAAATTATAGGCAATAATTAATATTGTTTCCCGCAAAGAAAACCATAAAGTTTGCATTTTTTTTATAAATATTGCACATTCCTGTATTGTTCTAATAATTTGCATAATTTTGTAATTGTAACCTCACGTTTATGATGAAGCTGATTGTGATTTTTCTGTAAACTACACTTTTAATTATTCTTTTTATATTGAACAAATTGATAATTGACCTATCGAATATTTTTTAAATAATTTTATTAATTCATTGTGGCTGGAATAGCCCATTCGATTAATACTTAAAAAATTATTCAACATACATATAACTTAATTGTAAATAATAAATAAATTAATTTTACGAATGAAAGTAAAGTAAAAAAAATAATTATAGAATAATTTTGATTGTAGTATTTATATTTGAAGAAATAGTTAATATAATATACATGATTATGAATCTAGATATACATATATATAAATTAATTATAAAAAGATATTAATAATTTTTATACTAATGATAGATTTATATAAACAAACCTTTCAGTTTTAAATTTAAAGGAAAAACATAATACAACATTTTTAATTATTTATTCTTTAAAAGAACATTTTTTAACTTTATTTAAATTACAAGAATTTTTTATCTTAAATTATAGCTGAACATAAATTAAATAATAATATTTATACTTTTTATGCAAAGTGGCAATATATATTTTACTGAATAATAAAAAATAAATTTCAATAACATTTTAACATATTGTTGTCATCAGCATTTATGATCTTACATATCATGATTATAAACAAATTTTGATTTAAGGATATTAAAAAAAAAATTAAAATTTTATTTTAAAAGATAATTTAAACCAGTTTTGGTCAAAAATTACCAAATAAATATTATACTTTAAGTATTTTTATCTTTTAAAGATTACTATTTTTTTTCAAAACTTGTAAATATGTACTTATGGTTATCAAAGGAACACATCACAGATTTTTTTATTATGCATTCTATTTAAGAGCATTGATTGATTGTAAGTGCAATAAATAGACCTCTTGTATATAATCAAAAAAATAAACAATTAATAAAAAAATATGTTTCATATAAAAAAATAATAATATATTTTGTCTGTGACGCGTTGCAGCTAGAAATATATTAGCGGTATTGGAGTTTGTTATCATTTATAGGAAATTCTTATCTTATGCGGATTGATAAAATTATTTTGACTGGTTTGTGTTAAAATATTTATTGTATAAACAAATATGTTTAAAACATTTCATTTTTAATGCGTGTTTTGGTCGTGCCGCATGAAATATTTTAGTGAAGAAAGTGTTGAGTGCTGATAAATAAAATATAATGAAATAATAGAATTTAAGTTAAATATTAGTACTCGGTAATATTTTTTAAATATATTTGAACAGCAATACTTTCCACCCGCGAATTCCGAGATGTATATGAATTTTGCCGGCATCCGAGTCGAAAGGGTTACAACTAGTGTGTGTTGTATGAATGTTTTAGAAGACGATTCACAGAGGTTGGTTTTCACTTCCTGATGATTAAATTATAGATAGTCGTTTGATAATATTTTATAAACCAAATAAATTATTTGTTCATAAAATAGAATTTGATCTAACAATACCAATTCAGTACCTGGCAGCCTGTCCCATACTGACAAAAAAACGTTCAGGTAGTTTTGTTATTGACTAGACTAACTTAGGTAGAATATAATTCGACAGATAGCATTGCACCCAATCATTATCATTATAAATTTATTCAAGAACATTACAAAGGAATATTTTATAAAATTATATAATAGTTTTGTAACAAAATTGTTAGTAGTCAATCATCTTTGTTAGTAGTGTACACATCATCTTTGCTAATTATTTGACATTTCAATTTTGTTTTGAAATATTGTTATTGGTGATTTGAGAATAAATTTCTTTTATTGAATGATAATTACTACAACTTATTTAAATATGAGTAATATAATAACCCAAAGACAAGAAAAAAGTAAAGATTATCTGCAAGGTGACTTTGAGGAGGCTTTTGAAGATCCTGTTATCCAAAAAGATCCAGAAGAGGATGACAATTTCATCTTTATAAAAAATGAAATAAAGATTGAAGAACCAGGAATAAATAACTGCGGTATGTGTGACGAAAATTTGTGCCTTAATTCAGAAACCAGAAGTAAATATTTTCTGCATGATGAATTTGAAGAAGCTTTTGAAGATCCAGAAGAAGAAGACAATTTAATCTTTATCAAAGACGAGATAAAGATTGAAGAACCAGAAATAAGTAACTGCGATATATGTGACGAAAATGTGTGCCTTAATTCAGAAACCAGAAGTAAAGATTTTTTGCATGGTGAATTTGAAAAGGCTTTTGAAGATCCTGTTATCAAACAAGATCCAGAAGATGAAGACAATTTAGTCTTCATAAAAGACGAGATAAAGATTGAGGAACCAGAAATAAGTAACTGTGATATGTGTGACGAGAATGTGTGTCTTAATTCAGAACCTTCTAAAAAAATTAAGAAAAATAAAAAAAAGGATAAGAAAGAATACAAATGTCCTTTCTGCAATAAAGTATTTAATGATCCTAGCAATTTCAATAGACATAAGAAAATTCACACAGGCTATTCGTATTCATTTGAGTGTAATATCTGTCACAAAAAATTTAAAACTCCGTATGCTCTTAAAGTACATTTAAGTCGTCATACTGGTGAAGGTTTGTATGAATGTAAAATTTGTGATAGAAGATTTTATGTACAATATGATCTTGATCTTCATGTACGATCTCATACCGGCGAACGCCCTTTTAAATGCCAAATCTGCGAAAAAAATTATATTTCTCAAAGTACATTGCGGAAACATCTTTTAGTTCATTCTGATGAAAGAAAACACAAATGTCCCAAATGCCCTGCTACATTTAAACGAGCTGATGGCTTGAAAGAACATTTTGATAGACAACATAAAAAACAATAATAATGCGAAGGAGACACGTTGCTCATCCCTGCATTGCGCCATAATACTACTATTGGGCTTGCGATACATATGTATTTCAATCTTAAATACTATACTTTATTTTATTTAAAATGAGTTTATTAGACGGTTTAAAAAAATCCAAACAAAATTTAAAACATTCTCAAACAAAAGTTACACAAGCTGATGGTACAAGTTACATAGAAAATTCTGAAGGAAATAAAACATTTCTCAAATCCGAATATGGTTTCGTGGTCGATACAAAACCCGACACAACTCCGGCAGAAGTGATGAACAATTTGTACGTGGGATCGCAAGATTGTGTGGATGTAAAAGTATTACAAAATTATAATATAAAATATATTCTGAGTGTTGGAATTCCGTTACCGAATATAAATTGGAATGATCTGTCGTACAAAATATCTTCAAAGTTTGTACCATGCTTAGATTTGCCGGAAACAAGATTATTAGACGTTTGTGAAGAATCAAATTTATTTTTAAAAACTTGCCTGAAGAATAATGATGGTGGAATTTTAGTTCATTGCAATGCTGGCGTATCAAGATCTGTTTCTGTAATTATTGGATATATTATGCTGGAATTAAATTATAGTTTTGAGGATGCTTATAAATTAATTAAGGCTGTTAGGCCTTGTAGTCAACCAAATCCTGGTTTCATTCAGCAGCTGAAATTGTTGAAATAATGGTAATTAGTTATAATATTTAAGCTAATGAATTTAGTGTTAAGAATATTTTATTTATGAAATATAATTCTTGATGAAAATTTTGATTGTTTTATTAAGTTTGATCAAGTTACTTTTCTTATTTTGTATAAGTTCTGGAAGTAATCATGTGCAAATTATAATCTTTATAATTATAATTTTAATTGAGAAATTAAATTATATTAACTAATTTATTTTTTATTACTAATTTTTTTAAAAAAACATTGCAATAATTTATATATGTATATATAATATATAATATTCTATAGTACTAATTGACTATCATTTATCAAGAAAAATTCTCCAAATTTTTATGTCATATATTTCTTTAGTTTAATCTATATAAAATACATATTTTTATATGTGAATTCAATTTTTTTTTTTTTTGCAAAACTTGATTTTATTCATAGTGTATACTATATAGTTTAAACTTATATTGGGAATGAAGAAAATAATTCAAGATTATCATTGTATTTATGGTTCAATATTTAAATTAGTGCTATTTTATCATATAAAATTATATAAATAATACAATTTGATTTAAATTTTTAGTAATAAGTTTAATTATATATTAAACATTGTTTCATAAAATATCGATTTCTGAAACGTTTCCATCTATTCTCAATTCCCAAATCCCAAAAGTTTTATGTTCAGCATCGGTTTCCGTCAATCAATAACATTCTTTGCACACATGTTGGAATTTGAGAGAAAAGACTACTTATTTCATACTCCCACTTTAGTATCCTGGAAATCTAGAATTTAGGACGGGCGCTTTGGGAATAATAATATTTATACACAGATTTAAAAAAATGTATTGGCAGGTGAGGGATTACTGGCCATTGTCAATTTTTTTAGATGTATAATTTAAAAATATTATTTTTCCTATCAAGACAAATTCACCTTTTCTGTTCCGCATCGCAAATTTTTGTATTAAATATACTTATAAATTATAATTACTATATAATTTGAAAAAGAAAGTAGAAAAATTGACGATGTTATCCATATGAAATCCAAAAAGCGGCCAGACATCATTTAATTTATTTTTAATTTTTTTATACTTTTTATTATTATTATTTATTTATTTAAGACCCATTTAAATTATACAATGGAATTAATATTTTATAATAGAACTCAAATTTTATATAATTTTTTGCTGAGATAAGTCTAAATTGCTTGCTTTTTAAAATCATGTACAGGAGAAAATTATTATAAAAATTTATTATAGGGTTGGATGTATAGGTTTATGCAGATTTTCGTTCCTTGAAACATAATCTTCCAGGCAAAAAATCCTTTTCTCGCTAATTATTTTGGAAAATTGTTATTCTTGTTTTTGCAGTAATTTTACTTATTGTAAATTGTCAGACAAAATTCCACTTATTGTAAATTGTCAAAATATGAATGAATTCTGAACACTTAAGGGTTAAGGGTAGTAAATTATTGCACATTTTGAAACAGTTAAATTTTTATTGCAATTAATACTGCTACATGAAAGATTTTTATCTTTTATCTTTAGATTTGAGTCTAGATTTAAAAGTTCTATCAATCAACTTGTGTTGTCGATATTTTGCGAATATTTATCCTCGAAGCTCTCCTTTTATTTGGATATTTGTGTGTTTGCAAGCAATCGGACGTGCAGTCCTTGGTCCTTGGTATTGGATGTTAAAATTCTACTACCTACCTCAAACGCACTCCAAAATCCGTATTACTTTATTGTACGGATTTTTTTCATCCTTTTCAAAAGAGACGCATGTGCTCATGTTTTCTTATGTCCTTACTTGAGGGACTAGATTTAGGACAGCTGTAAAATACTGCACTTAAAATCTATTTTCTAAAATCTAATTATTATTATTATTTATTTTATATTAATATTTTAATACATTTTTAAATAAATTTTATTATTAGTTATTAAAAACTTAATTGCTGAACAAATAACAATATTTTTTGATGACATTTTCCAATATGATTCAGGATAGCTGTAAAATACTACACTTAAAAACTATTTGACAAAAATCTAATTATTATGATTATTATTTTATATCAATATTAAAATAAATTTTTAAATAAATTATATAATTAGTTATTAAAAACTTAATAACTGTACAAATAACAATACTTTCTAATGTGATTTTACTATAGTAAAAAATTATAATCGAAAAATAAACTAAATTCTTAATAAGAAAATTGATTTTATTTCTATCTTGTTAATGTTGATAATTAACATAACTTTTCATTGCGTTTAATAATAATTTTTAATACAACTTTTGAGATAGAACATACTTTCAAATTGTATAAATCAATTATTAATTAATTAAATAAAATCAATTGTAGAGATAATATTGAATGTAAAAAGTAGATTTATTTTGCCCATATATAATGGCAAGTATAAGAGCATTTTTGCAAAACTATTCAGTGTTTATTGCAAGACTGTTAGATTTTAATAAAATTTAGAATGTAATATAAAGATTTTCTGAAAGTAAAATGAATTCAATAGTTATTACATGTGAAACACATGATCGAGCAACATATAGCAAGAAATTAAAAACTAAAATTCTTAATATTATTTATTTATAATGTTGTAAAGTAACTCTGAAACTTTTTTTTTGATTTTGGTCTCACTGTAAATTATATTTATATCATATCCTTTTACTTTCGGTATCAATTGATTAAGTTGTAAGAAATATTGAGTATAGAATTCTAATACATAATTTTTCCGTTTTTTACCCAACAATCAAAAGTGGAACAGTTTTCTAAGATTGTTATGATGATTTTCTAATAAATTGGCATTTATTTTTAGAAGGCAACCCAACGGTTGGCCTTAACTTTGTCTGTTATAATTTATTATAAATATTTCTAATAGTAAAAACATGTGATTTATTTTTGATGCAGCAAATATGTGACTTCTAAGGCTCTCATTGAAGAGTTTCCTAAACAAGCCACATTTGCGAACTCAGTTTTTGAATTCAAATACATCTCAATAGCTTATAGAATAATAAGATTCTGATTGCTATTAAATTTATTAATAAAAAAGTGATTTTAAAATTGCAATAAATAAATAATATAAAAATTGAGAAAAAATCCTAATAACCATCAATTCTGCGCAACTATAATTTTTAACTTTCTTTTCTTTTGTTTTTTTTTGTCAACAAAACTTTAAAGATTTTAAATATGAATAATATTTTTTTGAGAATATTTTAGGAAACAGGTAAAGTATAGTCGAAGCTATACAAGATCAATGTCCTTAACCTTGTGCTTCGGGTGCTGCATCTCGCCTCTTGTGGATGAGATCCAAGTTAGTTGCACATGAAAAGGAAAAGATGCGTGCTGCGTGCGCATACATACACAAATACACAAGATTCAGTTTTGTGTTGAGCCTGGCCATGGTTTTAAAACTGCCGATTGGGCGAATAACCGGCATCAGACTATGTACCTCACGTGGATTAAGAAGTATCACTTCTTATTTTGAAAAAAAGTCGAATTTTATACATTTTTGTATAAAAAAAAATTTAAAATTAATTTTTGTTAGAAATCACTATTAAATCTTCATAAAAAGACCAGCAGATTTAAAAAGATAAAATTATATTATATATCATTTCTAGCAAAAACTATAATGATTATTTATATAAAATCGATTGCAGATATCAATTGTAGAGATAATATTGAATGTTAAATGTAGATTTAATTTGTTCATATATTGTCGGAGGTACAAGAGTATTTTTTGCAAAATTATTAAGTGTTCATTCCAAGACTGTTATGATTTTAATGAAATTTATAACGTGATACACAGATTTTCTAAAAGTAGAATGAATTCAATCGTTATTACATGTGCAACACGTGATCGAGCAACATATAGCAAGATTTATAAAAAGATTTTCTAATTGGAGAAGACCTCTAACCAAATTCAATGTGAGCACATAAACTAATCTTTTTTGTTTATTGGTTTAAAATAATAATGCCAAAAATTCTTGGCGTTATATCACTAGTATCTTGATAAATATAATATAATTTAAAAAAAACTCTTTTTTACTATTTATCATAAAATATTGAACCTTTGATATAATAAAAAAAAGGAGATCCCTATTCTGTCTTGGTAATACAAGTTTCTCGATGAGGATAAAATTATATTTAGGACCTCTACACAAAATTCTATATGAGAACATAAACTTATAAAAATAGATCTTTTTCGTTTATTGTTTTAAAATAATAATACCAAAAATTCTTAGCTATATCACTAGTATCTTGATAAATATAATATAATTTAACAAAAAATGCATCACTTTTACTATTCATCACAAAATATTAAACCTTTGATATAACAAAATACAGGCGATCTCTATTCTGTCTTGGTAATACAAGTTTCCCGATAAGGATAAAATTATATTTAGAACTAAATCATTTATAACAAGGGATCTTCTAATTGGCGAAGAACTCTACATAAAAGTCTATATAAGAACATAAACTTATAAAAATAGTGATAATACTTATAAAAAATCTTTTTTGTTTATTGGTTTAAATTAATGATACCAAAAATTCTTAGCTATAGCACTAGTATTTTGATACATATTATATATCTTAAAAAAGGCATCATTTTTACTATTTATCACAAAATATTAAACCTTTCATATAGCAAAAAACATGAGTACCTTATTCTAATAATACTATGTTAGTATTATAAATTTCTCAAAGAGGAATTACTCTACAATTTTATTATTTAATACTTACACATAAATATTAAGAATTTAGCTTTTTTAATGTTTTGCCATATGTTGCTCGATCATGTGTTTCACGTGTAATAACTATTGAATTCACTTTACTTTTAGAAAATCTGTGTATCATATTCTAAATTTTATTAAAATCACAACAGTCTTACAGGTTCTATAAGCTTTTGGACTCAAAAATGTGTATATATACATTATTGAATATTACATTGTAAAATATATAATGTCCAGAATATTTTTTTGAAAGGCTAAAATAGGTCCTTGGAAATGCTAGCATTCTAATATATTTTATCTTAATATCCAGGCTCTGAACAGTTCGCGACAGAGAAAATTTTAAAATTATGTTTCAATAAGTTAAAAAGTTTATTATACATAACTTTATTAATGATTTTGTTATTGATTTTTATTATTGAAACATTTGTATGTAAAATATATTACAGGCATATAATATATATAGACGAAAGAAGAGTATAAGATGGGCTTATCATTTTTTACATGATTCGATAAGATACTTATATATTTTCGTATTTCTGCGTATGATTTATAATGTTCCCAAAATGGCAAAATTAAAACCCCAAATGAAGAATTTTTTTTCTAAAATTATGCCTCAGCATATTAAAAATATATTTCACATATATAATTTTATAAAAGATTTAAATGTGTGTAAAACATATGGCAGATATATAATTTATTCTAATTTATTAAAATATTATAAATAATTCTTGGTGTTGTATTTTTGTATGTTATTTATATTGATCACAGAGTCAAATTCAATAAACTAAAATAAACAACTAATTTACAATATTATTGTCGATATAAATAATGTTTTTTTATAATTATAGATACCATATTTGTAATTAATTAATCAATCACTATATTTTTTTAATTTATTGATTAATTTGTTTATATGAATTTTATAAACAAATAAAAAATTATTTATTTTTATTATATTGTCAGTAATATAATTTTAATATTAATTATTTTTATTATGTTGTCAGCAATGTAATTTTTTTGTTATAACCAACCGGAAATTGCACCGGAAAAACATCGCATAAAAGAAAACGAATTACTCCCGTTCTATCCATGCAGGCAGTACATAGTCAACGGCCGAGCCGTCGCCATTATCAATAATGGCTTCAAGGGCAAGCCTTGCGAACTAGTCAATAAACATCACAACATAACCTAAACGAAGTAGTGTAGTTATAATGTAAATTATTACGAATAAATAATGAAATGTAAATAAATAAATGTCGGATATTATTTTGTTATTGTTTTAAATGTAAATAAATGCGTTTTAAGTGTTGTGGAAGACAGTATATGCAGCTGGATTGCATGGAGAGAAACAGCTTAATTGTCAAATTTGTAAGTAGAGAAAATTATTTATTTATTTATTTTGAGGATAATTGATGGTTATAATTATAGCATTTGCTTAAATATTTATGCGAGTAGTATTTAATTTAGAGGTTATTTTGTTCTAAAAGTACATATATCAAAAAGCCGAGTAATGGCTGATTAGTCGGCACATAATGCAATAGTTATGAAACCATATTATCCTGACATATCTTTCGTTATTTCAGTTTAATATTTTCTATAAAAGAGTATTATATATTAGTTGAATGCTTAGTATATAATTTAGTTTCAATAATCACTTTTAATTCATTTATTAAAATCTGACAATATACTTGCTTCAGGATGACATTTTTTATACGTTTATAGAGACCACAAAAAAATGATTTAGACTTGTAAAAAATATTTAAATGGCGGAAAATAATTTTAACAATTACTTTCGTTTATAATTATGTATAAAAAACTAATCCTAATATAAAAACAAAAAAATATAAATAATTTTAGGTTAATCTGTCAATAGCTTGTTCTTGTTCTATTTGACATAAAAAATAATAATATTCAATACACACACACACACACACACACACATATATATATATATATATATATATATATCACTCTCATATTTATATTATTTTCTTTCTTATCAAAAAAATTTCTTTATCTCCGAATATTCAAAATTTTAAGATACTTGAAGTTTCGGAGTCACATGTCTCAAAATAGAGACATACTTTTTATATCTAATCCAGATAGCAGTAGAATTTTTCTAGCCAATATTATTAAAATAATTTTAATAGAAGTTCAGTTAGTATTTATTTGATATTTCTAAAGGCAGCTTGAAAATATTAATTGTTGTGGTTAAAAGACACCGATTTTGGGAAAATTTATTTGGATAAAAAATTCTTTTGTTTGTTGCTGTTGTTATTGAATTGAGGTAGATATTTATGATAAGCATTACATATTTAATTTAATCAATCTCATGAGATTGTTTTAAATTTTAAGAAGAACCTTAAGAAGAAATTGCTTTATATTATACCAGTTTTATAATTATCTTCTTCCTCTAATCGTTTCTGAAAAAGTAACAGAATTTTTGGTATTGATCCTGTTTTTGGGGAAATATTCCCCTTGGCATACCAAACATTCGGAAGGAATATTCGCTCTCCCTTCCGTGATCAACCTTTACTAAGCCCCACTGTTAGGAGAGGCGTGTTTTTTTCAACACCGAAGGACGAAATGTGAAATTTGATAGTATTGTTGATCCTTGAGAGATTACTTTCTTTTCTTCTATAATCTAGCAGAGATATTGTTAATTTGAAAAGAACCTGAAAAATACGATTTTTTGCAATCGTTTTTAAATATTTCATATAAATATTAAACTAGTTTATGAAAAATATATTTCACATTGAAACAAAATTTAAGATTTTCTATAATATTGAACTACGACTGTCAATGCCTCAAGCAACCACCGATCTTGGCGACCTATAGAATTTGGTTCACAAACAGAATGATTTTAAAATTTAATTTGTAGGTATATCGAAATACAAAATTTGATGCCTAAATATCTCCTGCAGCATATGATTGTTTCTATATGTGAACAAAACAATTTCAATCGAAAGTTCTCTTGTACCAATGCTATATAGTATCTATATATAGTATGGGTGCATGGCGTTGTGCCTTAAGGCAAATTGCTGGAAGTTCCCGTACCGTAATTAAAAATCTTGGTATGGAACCCAAAAAAATTTGCACAAAATGTGTACACATTAGTAAAATCTCTATAAAATATCTGATAATTTGACGTACATATGTCCAATAAACACTTTGGACCGCCAATTGACATTTTTTTATCTTATTTTTATTGAGAGTCCGTAACCGCTGGACCTGCCTTCCCAAAAAATTAATCAGTTCTTCATTCTTTTTTTGGATTATGAAAATCGGATGCTCCATTCTCTTAAAAACTGAGTTACCGTATTTGGCACTTTTTACCCGTATCTTCGAAACGGCTAGACCTGCTTTTTCCAAAAACTAATCAGCACGTCTCCTTCTCAATACGAATCGAATGTTTTTTGAATTATTCAAATCGGTTGATCGGTGTTCCTGAAACCGTGGACGAAATTTTGTATCCGCACACCCACATATACATCCATTTTTCTAAGGTATGCCAAAATATTCAGAAACCTTTGAAACGTAAAGATATATAAAAAATTTAATTTTCGATTTTTTTGCGATTACTGTAACTTACCTTACGGGAAGTTAAAAATACGATTTTTTGTAATCGTTTTTAAATTTTTCATGTAAGGATTAATCAATTTTAACTCATATTCCATTATTATTTATCATTTTATTTATTGAATGCATTTACATTCGATTACCTTTGTTTCTTTCAAGAGAAACTAAATTTTTAGTGGCACGTTAAATTTTATTTATACTACTGCGTTCTAAATTTTACAAGAAATAATTCTGATGATGATGAATTTAGTTCTGCTGTTAACTTAGTTCATGTTTTAAATTTTACAAACTTATTTTTCTCAAAATATTTATCTCTCAAAAATTGTTATTCATCTTACTATTCTATCTTATTATTGTAGTTAGTTGTTATGTTCCGAGGACTTAAGAAAATTGTTTTTTGGTGCAAATGCGAAACAAACCAGTTTTCTTTTGTGTTGGAAAGATTTCCACTATACTTCTTACAAAATTTCTATATGGGTTAAATGTTATATCTTATTATCAAAATCTTACTTAGGTAATCTCAATTTCTTTTGTTTCTATCTAAAGAAACTAAATTTATTGTAGCATACAATTTATTTATTTATAGCACGTAATTTTATACTACTTTTATATATGCGTTCTAAATTTTACAAGGTATAATTCTGATGATGATGAACTTAGTTCTGCTGTTAACTTAGTTCACATTTTAAATTTCACAAACTTATTTTTTTTTCGAAATATTTATCTTCTAAAAATTGTTATTCATCGTTGTTAATTATGTTTTGAGGACATATAAAAATTGTTTGTTCTGCAAATGCGAAACAAACCAGCTTTCTTTTTCTGCTGGAAAGATTTCCACTATTGCAAAAATATTCTAAACAAATATTCTATTTCAAATGCTATGGATTCAATGTTATATCTTATTATCAAAACCTTACATCTCTATATATAATATTCTATAATTTATGATTTTACGAACGCCAGTATTCATTTTCAACTCAACCCTAGAAATGCTTGCAAAATACATTGTCACGGTTTTTGAGGATTAGTTGTACAAAATCTGTACAAGTTTATTTTTCTACCTGAGTAAACTTCGTGAAAATTTTATGAATATGGGGTATTTACCAAACTGGTCAGGTACCTACCAATAAGCAAAAGCAATAATGTATACAATTTAAAATCATGTTTGACTTCTTGTGAGATTTCTTGCGAGATTTTTTAACTTCCCGTAGGGCAAGTTATAGTAATCGCAAAAAAATCGAAAATGAAAATTTTTATATATCTTTACGTTTCAGAGGTTTCTGAACATTTTGGCATACCTTAGAAAAAATGGATGTATGTGTGTGTGTGTGTGTGTGTGTGTGTGTGTGTGTGTGTGTATGTATGTATGTGCGTGTGTGTATGTATGTGCGGATACAAATTTTCGTCGACGATTTCGGGAACACAGATCAACCGATTTGAATAATTCAAAAAGCATTCGATTCGTATTGATAAGGAGACGTGCTGATTAGTTTTTGGCGAAGGCAGGTCCAGCCGTTCCAAAGATACGGGGCAAAAAGTGCCGAAAACGGTAACTCAGTTTTTAAGAGAACGGAGCGTCCGATTTTAATAATTCAAAAAACATTTTACTTGTATTGACAAGATGAAGAATTGATCAAATTTTCATGAAGGCAGGTCTAGCGGTTTCGGAGATCTAATGATAAAAGTAAAAAAAAATGCCATTTGGCGGTCAAAAATGATCATTAGACATATGCACATCAAATTATCAGATATTTTATAAAGATTTTAACAATAAGTATAATTTTTTTTTACATTTTTATGGGTTCCGTACCAATGCTTATCCGTTAGACGGCGGCGCGGCAGTTGCGCGCTTTGACATTTTGTCTCTATGCAGATAAAGCAGTACGATTGTAACAGCCAAAGTATGTAAACATTTTTTTTCCAAAAAAATTTTTTTTTTCAAAAAAAGTAATTTTTTGTCAAATTTATAGTTTCTCTCTAATTTTTTCGAAGTAAAATTTTTTCAAAAATGTTAATCGTTTTTAAAAAAATAATTTTTGGTACGGGAAGTTCCAGCAATTTGCCTTAAGGCACGATGCCTTAATTGCCTTAAGACAGAATTCCACTTACAGCTAGTTTTATTTTATAATGCACTTACTGTATGAAACAGACATTTTGAAGTATTCTTGCAGAGGTGATGTACAAGCTTTGCGTTGTAAGTCGTTTTTGAGATTGAACACTATTTAATTTTTATTTGAAATGAAATTAATTTCAAAGAAAACAGTGGAATTAACGAGTCTAATTCAAGAAGAAAATACCATTCGCACTTCAGTGTAGATGAATATGATATTTGGAAAAGTTACGCAATTAGATTGAAGATATTTTACTTGCTTGGGTGATGGGTTTTTATATACAACTTTCTGGAATCATCTTGGGTGATGGGTTTTTATATAAAAATTCTGGAATCATCGAATTTGGCATCAACAAACCTTATGAAACCGATTGTATTTGCCATTAAAGCAATTGAAGAAGTTGCAGTCCATAAAATTTTCAAGATTTCTACAGAATTTTTGAGATTTTTACTGAATTTAACTATATTTTACAGTTTCTATTAAAATTTTGTATTATTGAAATGCTGTAATAAAATTATAAAAATAACATAATCAATTGACTTGTTAATAGATATGAAATTAGTAAATCCAACCTAATAACGCCATATTTTTACGAATAAATCAATGTTGTGAGACTGAATAGACAGTATCAAAATTATCTGATTTTCAAATGTAGGAGGTGAAAAAGTTTGGAAACAATGCTGGGGTCTTCATTGCATGATAACATAATTTGGTGTGGTTGCAAGTGCAATATGTGAACTTATTTTAACTATTCCTTGTTACCAGTTTATTTCAGAATAACCAATATTTTGATGAGTCCTAGTGAGTCATCTACTTACACACCATTAGCCCTATAATGCCTTTCATGATATCGCCTTCATCCGCGTCCTCGACTTCTGTCGCCCCAACATCATATTTGTCGCCGCGCGACAAAGCCATCGCACCACCATCACATGCCAACTCCCTTAGCCAGAAGACACGACATTATGGAGATCTTTGCAGGTAAGATAAATCATACTTACGAAACTAGATTCAATTAAAGACGTTGCAGTATAATGGAAAACAAAAAGTTCTATTTTTTCCAGCCTTGAGTCCAGTTTACACGATGATTCTTCAATGCGTCTTGGATACTTTACCCATTCTTTACTGTCTAGTCATCAACAATCATCGCCTTTGACGCCTACAACAAATTCTCAATCAAATAGTACACCCTCATCATCCCCACATACAAGTACTACTTCTGTGGGAAGTTCTTCACTTGGCTCATCACTGTGTGAAGATCTTTCTTCATTATTACTTCTTGCACCTGGTAGTCCAAATGGAAAATTTGATGATAATTCTGAAGATGATGAATTCAGGTATTTATTTTTATAATTTTAAGTATAAATTTAAGTTTGTTATTCAATGAGTTAAACTTTAATAATGTTGTTTATTTTTAGATGTAGACGTCATGGAGAAAAGTTGCGATGCTACTGCGAAACTTGCTCTAGAAGAGTTTGCCAAGAATGTTCATTATGGGAACACAGAGATCATATTTGCCGACCGGTTTCATGTGAGAAATTATATGTCATACCAACCTTATGATCATTTAAAACATTTGAAGAACTTTATTTAATAAACACGACTCGTGACTCTATTTTGAATTACTTTTATTTTTGCAGCTTCTGTCGTGTCTGAACGCGCTCGTTCACATTTAATAGAATCAATAGATGTGGGTAGATTAGGGACAAAAATGATCAAAGGAAGAATTGATGATGCTGTAGCCGTTGCTAAAAGTACTGAAAGACAAGCTGCAGAAACATGTACTAGAATACGGAGGTTCGCTATAATTTTATTGACTTTCCTATTACGAATAAAAAGTTCAATATTATCATTTGCATTTATCCTTGTAGATTCTTCAAGCAACTAATCCAATCTACTGAAGAAAGAGAGCGTGAATTACTAGAACGCGTAGAGCGGTTGAAAAAACGCCGCATGGATGACTTGGCTGCTCAAATGGAATGGTTACGAGGTGCTTTGGCTGGTGTGGCAATGGCTGTTGATGACATGACGAAGGCTGTTGAACAGAACCAACAACGTGATGTACTTGATATCATGCTGGTGCATAGTAGAGCTCGGGAAGCTATCGATGAACATATGGCAACGTATCATAAAATTGAACCCAAAGAAGAATCACTTGTATTTGTTACCCCTAACTTTGAAGTGCTGCAGGATATCAGACATTTAGGTGAGTCGCTTATATTTATTTTTCATTTTTCTAAAGCAATTTAAATATTATTTTCTTATAGCTTCATACATTTTTAGTTATGCTATTTTTAAAATTTATTTTCTCGTATTATCATTTTTTACCATAAGTGAAAAATTATTATGTGTTTGATTAAACTAACTTGTATAGTATACAATTTTTAA